TATGAGAAGTGACTCATAAATCTTTGTTCCACCATTAATATTTAGTAACATTGATGCAGTAATATTCCACTAAACTCTAACAAATAAATAGTTAATGGCTGCAGGTAACTTACCTCCTCCACAATCTCTGCGGGCTTTTTCTTCTTCTACTACCTCGGTGAGAAGCTGTGACACGTTCACCTTCAGCTCGTTTATTCCGTTGGCCAAAGAACACAGATCATTTTTAACTTCAACAGAAAAGTTCTGTCTCTGTCCGTTTCTAAATTTTAGCTCTGCTATCACAGTTATGGCTGCCATCTTAACTGCGGTTTCCTGTTATCGTCATCACGCGCTCTCAGCTGCCTTAAAGTACCCTACGTAAAGGACGTTTTATAAATTCAGGTTTAAGTACTTAACCATGCAGTATCTGCGTGTCCGTGTGGGAAATCACTCACAATGTGTTCGTAACTTTGTAGTGATATCTGAATGCCGTGTGTATAAATCCGCCCACTATATAGTGCTTCAAGAAATTCACTGTGGGATATATCATATTTAAGTTGAGTCCATACCATGTACATTATATCTACTTCTAACAGCACCACACTGCACGTTTTACGGGTGGAAAAATTAGGCCTACTCCCGAGCAGCTCTACCGTACTGTTAATGATGACACAAAATAATGTTTAGTAAGTGTCAGAAACAGACGACTGATCCGTAAATGGTCTGAACACAGTTTTTTCTTTTATCGGTTTTATAGTTTTTTTTTTCTTTTTTTTTTTCCTTTTTTAATACCTGAGATCATAGGAGGCGAACAGGATGGTTGTTCTGATGACACCTGAATGCACCACAGGAAACGTCATCACGTTAATACAATTTATTTTTGTCCTGACGTAATTAGAGATTATGTTTCCTCGCATTAAAACTTGGTGTCTTATTCTGTCGGACTATATTTCGTGGTTTTGTAAACTTTATTTCCGTTTCTAAATTTGGTGGCCTCTTAATATCATAATGCCGCCAAATACAATTAGCGGAAGTTAACCGGAAGTTGTATTACATTAGCTAACAGTAGTTAGCGGTTTGCAAGCGAAGCTTTCAGCACCTGATGATCCGACGGAGCTTATTATTGATTAATATAGATCAGCGTATCAGTTGCTTTACAGTCGGATCAGAGGGTGTAAACTGTTTGGTTATACTTCCGTCCCGGTCCCGATTGTACGCGGTGAGTTTTTCTATTTATCTTACCACCGTTGCAGTAGCGGAGACAGTCATGTTTACTGAAATAGCTAATCGAGGCTAAATGTGACTGGTTGTCACATCTATCAGCAGCTGATCAGACTAAACGATTATTTGATCAAATTTTCCAACCATAGAGGTGCCCGTGTTTACAGACCTGTCATTAGGCGTATTGGTATTGGTTTGTTTTGTAGTAAACATGTGTGAGGAGCAGACAGTGTCTCTGGTTGATGTTCTGGAGGAAGATTTAGAGTTGGAGGAAGAAGCTTCAGCTGTTTTGGCAGGAAGTGATTCAGATCACTGCTCATACCCTCAGGTTAGTGTTTATATACCCTGCATACTATCCTGGCATATACTTTATACTGTGTATATTACATAAACTCACCAAGCAGTTTATTAGGAACATCCCACTAACACTAGGGAGGTTTCCCATCGCTGCCAGAACAGCCTCAGTTCTTCAGGATGTGGATTCCACACATGTTGGTTCCTTTGAGATTCTGCATCATGTTGTTTCTGCAGATTTGTCAGCTGCACATTCATGCTGCCAGTCTTCTGTTCCTCTGCATCCCAGTGGTGTTCTACTGGATCCAGATGTGGAGACTGACAAGGCTGCTGAAGTCCACTGGACTCACTGCCATGTTCACGAAACCAGTTTGACACTTTGTGACTTGGTACATCATCTTGGTGGAAGGAGCCATCTGAAGATGGTAAACTGTGACCATGAAGGGGCTGGTATCACAGGGCCCCAAAGTGTGACAAACTCTAACACTGCCGGTTGAGACTAGGGGTGCACCGAAATTTCGGCCACCGAAATTTTTCGGCCGAAAAGGCCATTTTTATTTCGGGCCGGAATTAAAAAAAAAACTCGCCGAAAGTGCCGCGCCCCGCCCCACCCATCATATCCTGGCGCCCCGCCCATCATATCCTGTTCATGGGAGACGCTGTTATATCACGCGTCTCCCATGAACGACAAAGCATGTCAGCGGTGAGAGACTCTTCAGTGCAGCATCTCATGTGCTTAATGAGAAGCCAAAA